CTTGTGGCATAAGAGACATCAACAAGGGAGAGGTTGGTGAGAAAGAAGTACATGGGAGTGTGGAGTCGGCTGTCCAGTCTGATCAGAAGGACAATGAGGAAGTTCCCCAGCACTGTCACCAAGTACATGATCAAGAAGAGGACAAAGAGGGAGACCCGTGTGTCCCAGTCACTGGACAGGCCGAGGAGAATAAACTCTCTCACCCATGTCTGGTTATTTGTTTCCATTAAAAAATGTGAAGATTATTAGTCTGCAGAGAGTCAGAGAGAACAGAAACTGTTGAATGAAAGAACCATAAGAATAACTTATTCTTAAAAGAATGCAATCCTAATGATATGCCATAGCTAGATATGTTCAATCATATGGGCCAAGTTGATAGACTTGATCCCCTGTATCTACTCTACATAAGAGGGGAAACATAAGGATGTGATGTGGTCTCAGGGAGTCAAGTAAAGTTTGGAGAGAAAGCAGTGCAATTCTGGAAGTTCTATATCTCTCCAGTTTACCCAAGTTTCCAGGGCAGGGGAGAACTGTAGGTGACCATGGGAAGTAAAATAAGCAATGCTGGTAAGCATGGGTCAACATTCAAGCACAACCCTACATGTATCTGGTGCACAAAACATGATGAAATGTATAAATAAATTACCAAAGGAAAAAGATTTGGAAGAGTCAGATACAGACTGCAAATAAGGCTGGCATCATGGAAAAATCTGGAATTAAAGAACTTGAATATGAAACCTGTTTTCATGACTTATCAGATATAAGATTGAGTTAGGCATTTAAACTCTTACATACAAATGGGCAATGTTGTGTAGCTTACAAGTATGTTTAAGCGCAAGTGTGGATAACTATGGGGAAAGTACTTCATAACCTCTCCCTGGGAGCAGTGCAATTCTCTGTTTATCAGTGTAAGTTGTAGCAGGAGCTCCACGCTGGAGAAACAGAGTAACAAGTGCTGTGCTCGCCTCTTCTGGCCTATCCACGATTTCAGACAAAACAGGAAGCAATACCTTTAGTAGACTGAAATCTACCAGGTGGGAAAATATGGGTCTTTTGAGAATTTGGTGTCTTTGGTCTTTGGAAGGAGAAGAGTGGTCATTGTATCTTATTCTTTCCTTTTATTTTGCTACCCTTTGTTTCCCACTCTTTCTGACTTACTCTTCCTATTTTTCTACAACTCTGGCCCTTGTGTATGGTCTCAGTAAAAAGGACAGTATGGAAATGGTTGCTTTAGCTTTCTAGTATAAAAAGAGGGAGAGAAAACAAATCTGTTAACTTTAGGTGACTCTTTAGCAGATCTGCATAGGAAGTAGACATTTGTTTTTGATTAATTTGGCAAATATCTCTAAGTGCCATCTTGGCCAGATGCTGGGAATTCAAGGGCAGTATTATACTTCCTTGTGCTCCGAATGCTCAAGGGGAAGAAACAGACACAGAACAGATTGTCATTTCCATCACTGTACCCCTGTTGCATGTGCGAGCTGCCTGGACATCAAGCCAGCCCATGACTCACTCTGCTCCTCTCGCCCATCCCGCACAGCTCTCTACTACAGCCCTTGTCTTGTGACAAATGATTGACAGTGTTGGATCCTAGAGAAAGTGGGACCTGTAGAGCCCGAAAGTTTTTGCCTTAAATCTGTTCTCTTCTGCTTCCTGAAGGCTAGAGCAAGCTACTGACCTCTCTTAGCTTTATATTTCTTAATTTGTAAAATGTGGGAAATTTTGGCCAACTGAAAGGATCATTGGTGAACTCAAATGTTTGGAAGATCTACGGTCAGTCCAGTAGTGACTGGATAGGCAGGGGCCCAGCAGTCAATGAGGACAGTTGGTCAACCTTTCATTTCACATTGATCACATTTGGGCTCTAATTCCCCTTTCTACCAACCAGAGTTTCTCTTACTTCTGGTTAATTCCTTTTCCATCATTATAAAAACCCAATTTTGGGGGAGCCTGGGTGGCTCAGTCGGTTGGGTGTCCAACTTCGGCTCAGGTCATGATCTCACAGCTCGTGAGTTCGAGCCCCGGGTCGGACTCTGTGCTGACAGCTCAGAGCCTGGAGCCTGCTTCGGATTCTGTGTCTCCCTCCCTCTCTCTCTCTACCGTCCTCCACTCATGCTCTGTCTCTCTCTGTCTCAAAAATAAATAAACATTAAACAATTTTTTAAAAATTTTGGGGCAGAGACTCTGTGCTACATAATTACCATTCTGATTCTCTCTTCCTTTCACATCCAGAGTTCTGAAATGATTGGTGTCTAATTGCAGGGTTTATTTCCTCATAACATTCATCCTTTAAGCCATGGAAATCTGGCTTCCATCTTCACTAATCCATAGATATTGCCCTCTTGAAGGGCACTCATAGCTTTCTTTCTTTTTTTTTTTTTTTTTTTTTTAATTTAATTTAGTTAACATGCAATGTAGTCTTGGTTTCAGGACTGGAACTCATGGCTTTCTAATCATCAGATTGATGGGATTTATTCTACGTTACTTCTTTATTGTTTAAATAATTGAACTATTTGTTCCTTCACACTCTCAACTCTGTGATGCTCTTCTGTCCTGATTTTCTCCCCATCTAACATTTTTGTCTGTAGTCTTGGATACGTATTTTAAATTCTCCTGCTGCATTACCGTGAGAATCTTCCAAGATTATGTGCACAGAATGTGTGCTTTTCTTTCTACAGCTCGTCCTTGGAGGACTCGTCTAAAACTATAATCATTGTTTTCAACTCAGGATCTTCCAACTCAAGCCCACGATGATCTCCTAGACATCTCTGCAAAGTCCAGATGCTTCTCCAACAGCTTAATGAATGATTCCTAAATATCCCACCAATGATTCAGCTCATCTCTCCACAACCTGTACACCATCCAAGCTCCTTTATCTCAAGCAATACACTACAATTCTCTCTCTCCCAGGACAACATGTTTAGTTTTTTCTTCTTCCTTACACCGAACAGAACAAATCCTCTTCTTTCATTCTGTATTTATGAATCCCTCACCTCTCCCTTGGACTTCATTCACACTGATAAAATACCACCACTGTGTTATCACCCTCCATCCGGTAAGCACAAAACTTCCTTTTGAATCTCACTGATCCAGCCTGCACCCAGTCCTGCTAATACTTAAATAATTTTCATGGATACATCAGCTAATGACTTTCAACTCATCAAACAGCATATATATTTCTCAAGTCTGTTGCCTTTGTTTTTAAGATTTTAAAATTTAATTAATTGATATCCAAATATGTTTGCTTTCTACAATGATAGAGTCCATTTTTGGACAGGTGATAGATTAAGAAAATAGAAATAGCATCTGTATTAATTCCTTTTGTGTGGAAATTATCCTTTTTGTGCCTATGTTGGATGTAATTGTTCTAAATGGAATTTTTAAAACATAAATTACTTGACCTTATTGTGAACTTCAAAATAGGTCACGTAACAAAAAACTGAGACCCCTACAGATGGAGGAAGGATCGGGAATGACACTGAAATTATAGGGAAGATTGTGTCTGAGGCATGGACGCAGATGTCAACTCCTCATTGTTAAAACAGGACTCGGATCCAGTTAAAGTACCTCCAGGTGCCTTCTCCCATTATCTAGTTATTAACATAAGCAGTGAATAGAAGCAAAATGTTTTCTCTATATGACAAAGATATGCAAACAAAAAACAAGTTTTCAGATTCCCAATACAACACATATTATCTAAATATAACAAATTAGAAAGTTCAACTTTAGCCACTTATGTAGGTTTTTTTTTAACTTAAGTACAGGAAATTAGTCCATTTCCCTGAAATCTACATGACCTTGTGTGTTGGGGAGCTAAACAATCTTGGGTGGGACTAATGAAAGTCCCAAATGCAAAAGCAGAACACACGAAGGTAAGTCCCACAACCTGCAGATATGTTTCTTTCGTGCTGCTCAAAATCACTCAGGGCCATACCTTCATCAAGTCAAACTGTCCACAGAAATGACACTCTCATTTAGAGAGTGATTTCTCTGACTTCTGACCGAAGAGTTGGTTGATGTCAGCACTGAGAGCATCCATCCTGAGCAGGAATATTTGCATCATCCTGACATATGGAAACAGAGAATCCCTGGGTGGCTTGGGTGGCTGGTATCTCCAAGACTGGTTTCGTCTCCTGAAAGAACAGTTACTTTATTCTCTTTGTGGTCCTGTGAACTTCTTCTAGCCTGATTTGGTTAACCTGACTTTTCACTTAATCAGAGTCCAATCCTTGAAACTCAGTTTCTCAAACATATGCAAACCTGACACACACTTGGTGACATATTTTATTATGGTCTCATGTAAATTCTTCTCTTCTTGCTACTTCTTGTTCCCTGTAGCTAAGACCAGTGTTTTCATGACAATATAATTCCCTCCGTCCGGCAAGTGTCCACAGTGCAATCCCCACAGCCAATGCCAGAAAAACCAACCCTGGGATGAATTAGGACACCTGAATCTTGCCTCCAGTTCATTCTCTGAGTGTCAAGGGTCTTTGAATAAGCCCTTAATTGCCTTACATCTTCATCTGTTACTAAAAAAGAAAATCATAATATTGTGAGAATCAAGCTTTCCAGAAATAATTGAGATAGGAGGATATAAGGCAATTGATAATATATCTTTTCTTGTCTGGAAATGTAACATATTAATATTACCACCACCTGCTAGTCACTATCAGTACCTAACAAAAGACTCCATACTTGTGAGCTTCTTTCCTAAGCGTCTCTCTCTATGTCAGGACTAAGCTTTGGGATGGAGAAGCCTATTGTACAATTATACCCAAGGCTCATGTTCCTGCAAAGTACAGCTACTTTACCACATTTGCTACAATACTTGAGAAGATTTCACCAGCCATGTTTCATGTCCCTGATCCAAGTTCCTAACAAGTCACTTCATTTCTGTCTCTGTCTCTGTCTCTGTCTCTGTCTCTGTCTCTGTCCCTGCTAAGGCCACATTCCCACAGGCTGTGGAAGCCTCTCAGATGGTAATCAGTGCTGACAAACGAGATGTGTCTGCTTTCCTCTAGGTTGAAGCTGCTCAAGAGCTCTCCCTCCAGCTAGAGATGGACCATAGTGAAGAGACATCCCAAATTCCTTGGGCCCCAGTACTCCTCAGTCACCAGGGACCAGTTGCCATTGCGAGGGACGCTACTGGGAGGACGTTGACAAGGGCTCAACAACAGCTCACACACACAGACCTAATGAGCTTTGGCAGCAGCTGCATTGGCAGGGG